ATAAAATTAGTTATGTTTGCCATTTGAAACAATAGTATTATCCCTCCTCCCCCCCCCCCCCCTCCTTGGAAAAACATTTTTACGCACCCTGTATAATTGAACATCTATTATTGAATTCATTCCTTTATTTATAGTGATTCTACAAATGTACCAATAAAATTGACTCAAAATGAATAAAATTTTCAAACATTTGTTAGCAAACGTTTTATATAGACTATTATGATATGTTCAATTGTATTGATTATTATACTTATTGGATTTATGTATGCATGACGAGATTGTTGACTAAATTGGAAAATTAATCTAATTTAAATTAGAAGCACTATTCGTATTTCTTACTGGTATTATTGTTGTACTAAAATTTTTCATTATAGTTCACATGCTTTTTCCTTGAATTTGTAAAAATACCAAATAGTTCATCATGTAATTTTTCTTGCACTTAGTATATGCGTGTTATTCCACTTAATAGAATTAAATAAACAATCACTTACAAAAAAAACCTAGCCATAAAATTCTAATATGACAATTAGCTCATCTACTAGAGCCTATTGAAATGAAAAATAGTGTAAACTGATTCATGTTTATGGTGCTTTGTTCTTGAGTGTGAGTCGAAACATGAGACATAGGACTGGAATCAAAAGTTGAATGTTCACCGCATTTAGACTAGAGTTAAGATTATCAGCAAAATAGTAAAATAAAGATTGTAGCTAAATATTCTATCTTCTTCGACACATTATTTGATAAATCATATCAATTAAAACAAAATTTAGGAGAGATGAGCAAACAAAGCTTATTGGTGCAGCTCCTTCAGAGGATGTGGGTGTGATGTGGGTGTGAGTGTGGGTGGGTATGGGTGTGGATGTGAATGAAGAAAAGATCTACACGCACACCCACCATTCCGTATGTAGTGAAAATTTTGCAAAAGATTTTTACGAAAGTTTATGTTTTCATTCGTGTCAATGAATTTCATGACTAGTCTAAGCTGGGTGTGGGTGGGTGTGGGTGTAGTTATAATTAGAAACACCGTCCCACACATGTACACACACGCACACCCACACCCGCTCTAAAATGATTTCTCATAAAAAAATCTCTTTTCATTTTCTATCTAAACATGAATAAATTGCATGAACTACTCTGTTTCATTAACTTAGTTCCAAACTATTCTATGTAGATCATCATTTAGTTCATATGTCAGAAATGAAAGAAGGATTTCTTTTATATCAATGGAAAAACCTTCAATGATCGGAAAATGAGTTGTTCTTTCAAGGAATTTTGATCAGCTTAGGAGAAAAGTCTTTTTCTTAAATCAATTCAACGATATTCGAGAAGATTTGAACAATCAAAACAGTTTACTTGGAATCGAATTTGTTTTTCTTTTTCATTCTCCTATTCAGATCAATACTAAAAAAATGAAAAAAATTTGATCGATTTTATTTTCTAAATGAGTACGATAAGATATGATGATGAAGATATTCTTCTTTTCATTGAAAGGATTTTTCCATTGGTATAAATATGAATACGCTTTTCTTCTCAGCTTGGATGATCATTTATACTATCAAATAAGTATTCGAATGAGATTGAAGATCGAATAGAAAATATTTCTTTGAATATCGAAAAATGCGAGTCATCTCTGATAAAGCAAATTTCAATCCTCTTTAGATTATTATTGAAAAATAAATTAGATCAGTGAGCAATTTTCCAAATGAAAAACGTTGAAGAGATTTGATCAATTGATTGAAAAAGTATGAGAGAGAAATCTATATCTTCTTAGAATGGAACCATATAATTGGAAAATGAATCAACATTTTTCTATTAGATCGAATGAAGAATTTCAAAGTAAATATCGATGATATGTTTTCATTGACGATAGAAATCAATTCAATGAAATGTGAAAAGAATCTTCAATATGATTATATTTGACGAATCTCTAGTCTCAATCCTTATTATTCATTTGGAAACCCTCGAAGGATCTGTCAGGATTCTGAACTTCAAGGGTCTTGTCAAGTTTTATTCAGGATCCTGTTTCAAATCCTAGTAATTCCTGTTTTCAGGATGTTTCAAGGTGCGACAAGATCCTGTTCAGGATTTCTTCAAGTTTCTGCTCGGATACACTTCTGAGTTGAGGATACAGGATCCTTGAAGGACTTATGCAAGATCTTATCAAGGATCTTCTCAAAATTACCCAGGTCGAAGATTCCGAACTCCGGACACAAATGGATTTCACCAGTACCAATCGGAAAAAGTGCAGAAAAATCATCGTATTCGATTGGAACGCACCAGAAATTGCCGTAACATGGAAGCAGTATTCCGAGCCGGAATGTCTTCGGATTTTTTCGACGGCTTTCGGTCAAATTCCTGCTATTTCCCGCGGGAAACGACCGAAAGCCACTGGAAAAATCCGAAGACATTCCGGTTCGGAATACTGCTTCCGTGTTCCAGCCGGAACCGGTTCATACTCTTCGACCTGGGTAATTATCATGGAATCTTTTTTCGCCATGAAAATTGTTATGGAATCTCTTATTCTGTCTCGTTAAAGTAAATTATCGATTAAATTCTTAGTTCTTTCTAAATCGTTTCTTTCCATTTCAAGTATGTTTTAAAGAAGTTTGTGGAACTAGTGTTGTTAAGAATCTGCCTAGCTGTTGCTAAGAAGATCAGATTAACTACTTACAGAAGTTGATTCAAAAAATTTTATGATTATAAGAACGTATTTAATAATATCTTGATAAAAATCGTACCCTAACGATAGACACCTTTCATTGCATTAACATTTTCGATTATGCACTTTGCCTAAATTAGAGAGGCGTGTTCTCCACTGTCATTGGTGATTTAATTGCTTAGTATGAACAAGGGTGTGGGTGTGGGTGGCTGGGTGTGGGTGTGGGTGGGTGTGGGTGTGTGGGTGGGTGTGAGTGTGAGTGTGGGTGGGTGTGGGTGTGGGTGTGGGTGTGGGTGTGGGTGTGGGTGTGGGTGTGGATGTAGATCTTGTCTTCATCCACACCCACACACCCACACCCACGCACACCTTAAAGTACTTTTAGGTACGTATAAGGTACTCGAATGGGTACCCTGTTGGAAGGCGTCTAGTAAATGGGTACTTGTAGATACTGATCAAATACTCAACTGGATATTATTGCACAGTACTTTTAGGTACCCTGTTACCAAAATTGCAGTATGTTGATGATCGAACCTAGCCTTTGACTTTTTTTCATTTTTGTTTCTCTCAAAGAAATTTATAACATTTTTTCAGTGTTTATTTAATTTAATTTTGTCAATTCGGAAAATTCAAGCAGGTCAAATTTCGGCATCTGACCGAACTTGAGTTGGTCGGATCTCCATCAGACCACTTCAGGGTAGTCCTCTCTCAATTTACGATCGAGATCGGCATATTCTCGACTATCCAAGCAAACCAACTTTTGAGAAAACGCGTTTAAATGCACAGAAATTGGTCTAAAATCTGCAAGAAGTAGACATTTTTGGCTCACACTTGAGGTTCCCGACTGTGAGTCAAAAACGCCCATTTTTCGCCCCTTTTGTACGGTTAAACGCGTTGTCAAGCAAAAAACGCGTTTACACGCATACAAAGAAGGGTGTGGGTGTGGCTGTGAGTATGATTGTCTTTATATACACCCACACCCACACCCCACCCACACCCACCCACACCCACACCCACCTACACCCACACCCACACCCACCTACACCCACACCCACCTACACCCACACCCACACCCTTTTATGTTCTGATAAAGATGAAAGTATTCATTATTTTTCAATTCCAAATATGAACAAAGTCTATGGCTATGTATCCTAACTATTGTTCAAGCTTACTTCTTTCCTTAATCTTCTATTCTTTATTTTATTTCTCATCGTATTGATTATAAATCACTTCTTGTACACGACAATAGTTTATCTAATATTTAATAGATGCATATCTTTTGATTCATTTTTACAATTGAATAAATAATCACGTCTGAAATATCTTGAAATTAACATATTCAATTATTGAGTTTCGCTACTCAAAGATTTAGTCAAACACACGTACACAAAGAAATTCTCTTGCTATGTGTACCATGGAAACACATACAAAGAATCTCTTGTAGTGATAGTACCACAAAACAACTTACACATGGGAATATCAAGATCTACCAATACATTTTCAACAATTGAATTCAAATTTTGAGCTTAATATTACTCTGGAATGAATACACATAATCAGGCGTAGATGTGGGTGTGAGGTCGATGTTCGTTTCACTTACATCCACACACACATTCTCCTTATCGTAAAAGGACAATAGACAAAGATTCATTAGAAGATGTTCGACTGTCTGATTAAGTTTGACATAAAAACTCTTGTTGTATCAGCTAGATAAGAATTATATCCTAAATTTTCCTATGTTTAGCTCTAGTAATAAGAAAGACGTTGTTTAAAAAACAGATAGTGAAATGACGAGATAAAAGAAAAATTATGTCAAACGGTTAATCCAATAAATATGTTTAATTTTAATTGGTTGTATTTTAAACTTATGAAAATTTTATTAAGCTATTTTATTAATGAGAAAACTAATAAGTAATATTTTTAGTCACGTATGAAATATATGTCAATCAATGATTATTTTGATGAACGTAGAATGTTAATATATCTTTCAACATTTCGTACTTTTTCATGGTCGGAACCGAAAGCCAAACGAGCATGAGAGAGAGAACGCTCGGCATGTTTAAGAGCTTCATCATAATTTCGAAGATCTTCATATATTCTTGCTGTATTGAAATGAATAACATACATTGATGAATGATTAGGAGATGTTAATGATTCTTGAATATTGAGTGATTTCTCATAGAATTGAGCAGCTTCTGTTTTCATTTCCATAGATGAATAAATCACGGCAACACTACTGTATATTGAAGCTAATGATGGATCTTTAGGACGAAGTATTTTTTCTCGAATAGCTAATGCTTTTTGATAAAATAGCAGAGCATTTGTTTTATCATTCATAGAATCATAAGCGACAGCAAGATTATTATAAGTTGTTCCCAAGGATGGATCATCAGGAGAAAGTGTTTGTTCCATTATTGTTAAAGCTTTTCGATAAAAATTCACAGCATCAGAATAGTTATTCATTGAATGATATATAGATGCAATATTTCTATACGTTGCAGCTAATGCTGGATCATTGTTAGGGAGAACTTTTTCTCGAATGACAAGTGCTTTTTGATGAAATAACAGAGCATTTTGTTGATCATCAATAAAACCATAAGCAACTGCAATATTATTATAAGTAGTTCCCAATGATGGATCATCCGAAGAAAGTATATTCTCTTCAATTGTTATTGCCTTTCTATAAAAATTCACAGCATCAGAATAGTTTTTCATTGAATGATGTATAGATGCAATATTGTTGTACGTTGCAGCTAATAATGGATCATTAGGAGAGAGTGTTTTTTCTCGAACGACAAGTGCTTTTTCATGAAATAATAGAGCATTTTGTTTATCATCTATAAAATCGGAAGCAGTTGCAATATTATTATAAGTTGTGCCCAAGGATGAATCATTAGGTAAAAGTATTTTCTCTTCAATTGTTATTAATTTTCGATAATAACTGATAGCGTCTGAATAATTATTCATTGAATGATATATAGATGCAATATTTCTATATGTCGAAGCTAATGCTGGATCATTGGCAGAGAGAACTTTTTCTCGAATAACAAGTGCTTTTTGATGAAATAACAGAGCATTTTGTTTATCATCTACAAAATCATAAGCAATTGCAATATTATTATAAGTTGTTGCCAAGGATGGATCATCAGCCGAAAGTATTTTCTCTTGAATGGCTATTGCTTTTTGATAATAATTTATAGCATCTGAATAATTTTTCATTGAATGATAAGTTGATCCAATATTACTATAGACATTAGCCAATGATGAAGCATTTTTAGCAGGATCTTTTTCATGAATTGTACACGCTTTTTCATAATATGAAATTGCATTTTGATAATTATTCATTGCGTCATATGTTAGACCAATGTTATAATAAGTATTCGCCAAATCTTGATGATCCGATGGCAATAATTTTTGTTGTATTGCTAATGCTTTCTCAAATAATGAAATAGCTGTTGAATAAGTTTTCATCGAATAATATGTGAGTCCCATATTGAAATATGTTGTTGCTAATGATTGATCTCGAGTTGATTTAGAATTTTGTTGAATAACAAGTGCTTTTTCATAGAATGACAATGCTGTTGAATAATCTTTCATTGAATTATGAATTAAACCAAGATTATTATAAGTTGTAGCTAGAGATGGATGATTTTCTGAACGTGATTTAAATTGAAGATCAAGCGCTTGTTGTAAAAATGAAAGTGCTTTTGTACAATCTTCCATTGAATGATAAATTAAACTAATGTTATTGTAGGTATTAACTAAATCTGGATGATTATTTGAGCAAGATTTTTGCTGAATTTCAAGTGCCTTTCATAGTAAGCAAGTGCTTTTGATTTATCTCCAATTGAACTATGAATTGTACCGAGATTATTATAGCTATTAGCCATCTCAGGATGATTTTCATCAAGAGAACGTTGACGAATATCGAAAGCTTTCTGATAATAAGATTGTGCAACCAATTTACTACCTATTGACTTATAAACAGAACCAAGATTATCATATATATTAGCAAAACTAATATGATCTTCGCCAAGAGATTTTTGTCGAATATCGAGTGATTTTTGAAAAAATGATAATGCAATTGTATAATCGCCCATTGCATTATGTACCGAACCAATATTGTTATAACTCGTAGCTATATGAGGATGATTAGATGGAAGAGATATTTCTCGAATTTTGAGAGATTTTT